AAAAACCACTCCATTGGATTTCAATGAAACTTTTAAAGAGTACCATCACATTTCAATGAACCTAGGACTATACACCATATTAGTTTTTGGTAAATATTTATGCTTATTAATCACTTAATTAACATAATTAATTAATACTATATCTCAAGTATTGATCATCACATTTGAATAAAACTAGGTACATAAATGCTCTAGGACAATAGACAGCCTGATTAATTTTGGGTTAAAATCTGTTCATATTAATTCTCTAATTAGCATAATAATTAATATTTTTTTGGTTCTAATCACATTTCAATGAAACTTGGTACATTGTGTTTTACACTTTTTTTTTTACACTTTTTTTAAGTTTAAACACTTAAATCTGTTAATATTAGTTACCTTATTTGCATAATTAGTTTTATGCGTTTCCATTTTGAATTAATTTTTAATGTGTCTCCAATACTCTCAGCACACGGGATTTCTTTCTAAGCTTTCTTTGATTCGACTTCTTCTTGAAAATTATAAGCCTGAATGCTTTGAAAGTTGGTATACCTTGGATAGACCTCTTTTAGATTTGTTCATTTCATGATGATATCTTCAATTCTCTAATTTTGGTGAATATTTTTGTCATTTTTGGTAAAAAGTGATATTTTCGACTTCTTGTTAAAAATTGCAAGTCCAATTGCTTTGATATTACATATATAGATACTACATGTGGTCTTCTCTCAGATTTGTTCATTTCATGATGATATCTTCAATTCTCTAATTTTGATGAATATTTTTGTAATTTTTGGTAAAAAGTGATATTTTCTAATTCTTGTTGAAAACCGCAAGTCCAATTGCTTTGATGTTACATATATATAGGTACTACATGTGGTCTTCACTCAGATTTGTTCATTTCATGATGATGTCTTCAATTCTCTAATTTTGATGAACATTTTTGTAATTTTTGGTAAAAAGTGATATTTTCGACTACTTGTTGAAAACCGCAAGTCCAATTGCTTTCAAATTGATATTACATATATAGGTACTACATGTGGACCTCTCTCAGATGTGTTTATTTTGTGATGACATCTTCAATTCTCTAATTTTGATGAATATTATTGTGATTTTTGGTAAAATGTGATATTTTCGAGTTCTTTTTAAAAACCACAAGTCTGATTGCTTTTATATTACATATATAGGTACTACATATGGTTCTCTTTTAGATTTTTAATTTTGCGGTGATATCTTCAAATATCTAATTTTGATGATAATTTTTGTTATTTTTGGTGAAAAGTGATATTTTTGAATTATTGTTAAAAACAGCAAGTCTACATATTGTTCATTTTCTAATGATATCTTTTGTTCTTTAATTGAAATGTGCATTGCTAACAGCAGAGCTATCTCAGCCGACTGGCTACTTGATAGATTACAGTATGGTTTGATGTGTCACCTCATGGCAAATTTGGATCTATCATAGTATGTTCTATGTGTTTGTAGAATACAATATGGTTTGATGTGTCACCTAATGACAAGTTTGGATCCATCATAGTATGATCTGTGTGTTTGTAGATTACAGTATGGTTTGATGTGCCACCTAATGGCAAGTTTGGATCCATCACAGTATGATCTGTGTGTTTGTAGAATACAGTATGTTTAGATGTGCCACCTGATGGCAAGTTTGGATCTTTTATATTATGTTCAATGTGTTTGTAGATTACAATATGGTTAGATGTGCCACCTGATGGCAAGTTTGGATCCATCATATTATGTTCAATGTGTTTGTAGATTACAATATGGTTTGATGTGCCACCTCATGGCAAGTTTGGATCCATCATATTATGTTCTATGTGTTTGTAGATTACAGTATGGTTTGATGTGCCACCTCATGGCAAGTTTGGGTCCATCATATTATGTTCTATGTGTTTGTAGATTACAATATGGTTTGATGTGCCCACCTCACGGCAAGTTTGGATCCATCATATTATACATAATGATGTTATTTATATTATGGGGAGTATTATGGGCTATCACTGGAGACGAAGCTCTACCCGGTGGGAATCTGTTTGCACTATTAGTGTTATGGGTGTGTGCAGTTATTGGAGGAGCTGCCATTACATTAATCAAACTTCCTCCACTGTTAGGTAAGCCATTATTATAAAGTGATGCATATACTGACATGAGTAGTTGACATGGAACTTTTGGCTTTTGGAATTAGATACAGTATTTATAAAAGTATCATATAAAAGTGAGTTTCATTCAAAGAGTATGTCACTAGGCCTGAATTGTTTTAGGTATATGATTGCTGCATTTAAGATGAATCACTAACGAACCTTAGCTTCAAAGCTTGGAACCTCACAGGTAATTAATTTTTTTGTCTAATTTAGGTTGTTTACCACAAACATTTCATAGTAAAATTCAATAATTGTTATATATACAGAAATATTTGTTTCTATTTCTGGTGTGTTATCCTACCATTCACCATTATTTTACTGTTCAAGTTCAAAGAATCACTCTAGTCACAATGATAGGTTCCATCTTAAGACACGTTCGGAATGAGAGTCTTCATTTTTGAGACACGTTCCAAGAATCCCGTTCCTAGAATGATAGTCTTCACTTTGATACACATTCCAAGAATCCTATTGCTCAGAATGAGATCTTTATTTTAAGACATTTTCCAAGAAACCATTAAAATATTGAAACATACAAGAAAAGTGCTTTATTATGGTTGTTTATCAATCAATCAATTAATTAGCTATGTTTATTCTTTTGCGTAATTTCTATATTGTATGGTACACTATTTCCAAATCTTAATAATTGAATTTTAATTTAAGTTAAGTTTAAGGCATGAATAATTAATCATTTTGAAATGAACACAAAATTACAACATTAGATAAAATATTTTCATGTGTTTCACTGTAACTAGTTTTATAACAGTTATTGGGGTATGAAACTGTCACTGTTTGTAAAAAGTAGCAGAGGTCGGCATGGAAAACTATATTGCATTCTGTCACAGGCGGAGTGCTTAATGATGATGATTATGAAATCATTTATATTTAAATCTTGAATAGTATGTAGCTCTCGAATATAAATAGATCACTATAAATAATAACAATAATAATAATAATAATAACGACGTTAATCCACATGAAATATTACTAGGGTGCATTGATGTGCTGATTATGTCCCCAGTTTTAGTGTTACATGCACAATTCTATAATATACATAGTTAGCTGGCGTACACGTGATAATAAATTTAACCAACCGCTAACAAAATTCGGCAGAATTCGTCGTTTATGTGTGGAAATATCCTCTAACTGTTAGGCCGACGATGATTGGCTCCTGGTGGTATTTAGGAGTATTCGTATTGAGACATGATTGGCTCCTGGTGGTATTTAGGAGTATTCGTATTGAGACATGATTGGCTCCTGGTGGTATTTAGGAGTATTCGTATTGAGACATGATTGGCTCCTGGTGGTATTTAGGAGTATTCGTATTGAGACATGATTGGCTCCTGGTGGTATTTAGGAGTATTCGTATTGAGACATGATTGGCTCCTGGTGGTATTTAGGAGTATTCGTATTGAGACATGATTGGCTCCTGGTGGTATTTAGGAGTATTCGTATTGAGACATGATTGGCTCCTGGTGGTATTTAGGAGTATTCGTATTGAGACATGATTGGCTCCTGGTGGTATTTAGGAGTATTCGTATTGAGACATGATTGGCTCCTGGTGGTATTTAGGAGTATTCGTATTGAGACATATTACAAAAAATAATCTAACTAATATTACATAAATATATTGTCTAGTATCAGGGAGACCACAGCTTGTCGGACGTTAATAAAGATAGTTTGGTTGTCACAAACTATATAGTTTGTAGTACTTTTTCAACTGCCGGCAAATTACAGTACGACCAAATTCACCCATACGCAAAACTGTCTGATTCAAACTATTCGCTTCTCCGAAATTCGAATATTCAATATTGATCTTTTATTTCCAACCGAAAACACATCAAGACCAAAAAGCCGATTTTCACTTGAACGTCAATGTAATTTAATTTGGTACAACAATTCAGTCAAGGAGTTATTTATTAGAGATTGTCGGAAAACCATATTTCAAGACGTAAATTACTCCCGTAAAAGAAAGAAAAAAAGACGTTTTTACAGTTTACAGTGATAAAAAATGGAACATTGAATGGTCCGAAAAGCTCTCCGACTCAAATTCTCCGTCATTGCTGCGCCGCGTGTAGAGACGCATGCGCATATTACCCTCGTACTGCTCTTCATTCGGTTAGAGGGCCTTTTACGTCTTGACATTCAATTTTGCAGTGAATTGTGTCATCTAGTCGTTTTACAGTTTCTAAAATGTAATTCTTCTTTACGATTTTTTTATTTGGATATAAATTCTTGTACGTACCGAGAAAAATGACACATTTTTACAGTGTACGAAAAAAATATTTGATTGATTACGTTGTACGTCAAGCCTGTGATTACAGAATTATGGAATTTATTTTTTCAACTTATGTTGTACGAACCAAAAAATATTGCAATTACGTTGAACGAAAATAACCCTTGCCCCCCTCTATATATTTATATAGCAATATAGCATCAGACTGACAAAGCGTTCATAGTATACTCACTATTCATATTTGTAATGACAACATTGTGTAGATCACCGAAGTAGATTGTCTCACGAAACTCAATCAGGAAAATCGATTTAACTTCTCAAACATAAATAAAAATGGTGTGTTTTTTAAATAATTTCTAAACACGAGATTCACAATTTTTTTCATGTGGAGGATAGCTTATGAACAGCTTTTAATTTCCTCTTTTT